AAGGACGAATTCACGATGAAAAAAAAGCAACCCATTTCAAATTAACCTAGATGGTACACGAAAGAAGGAAGAACCATGAGAAACGGCCCAGAACCCGAGAAATGGTACCCCTTCCTTGCCCGTTGATTCGAGCATTGATGCGACTCTCATCGCTGTGCCCTCTTCAACACTACGCTCTCTCAGCTATCTAATCACTCGCCACGTATTGAACTACGGCGAGTGATCAGATGATCGGCGGGATAATACGGAACGATTCCGTCGACGTGAAATAAAACATTCTATCCGCAAGTGCACGAGAGGCATCCTACCTCACGCTCGAGTCTTGTAGTAGTCATTTTAGCTTAAGAGTGGAAGGTAATTTGTTTAGTTGTATAGGTAGGTCCTCGTCCCTACTCTACAGCTGCTCCGTCAAAAGTTGCAAGAAAAACCCATTACCTTTAAGGCCGGCAAACACAGCTTCAACTCGTGATACCAGCCTCATGCGCGGGAGTTTGGGCGAATGAAAATAATCGTGGGTCTCTGGGTTAAAATGTATTGCCCAAAATTCCCAGCCCTAACTCATTCCAATTAGGATAGATAAGGTAAACAGTGACAATTATGAGTTGATTCATGCGAAACTTGGAAAAAACACACGGTAGACCATTGAGAATGCGACAAATTAAGAATCAGTGTCGCAACTTTCGCATACGCATACAGAAGGCCTACGGACTATCGGAGTATTCGAGACTACTGGATCGGAGTATCGCCCAAGGCTACGTTCTCTCGCCCAAACGCCAGTTCGCGACTACTGCGGGCTTGAGTACTTTAACCACATGTTAAGTGCCTCACCCACCTCTGCAGTCCACTCCTTTTCTGGTACCTAAGGTTAAGCTTTTATTCCACCAATTTGGCATCAAAGAGACAGTTGCACTTTTCGAAGACCTTCTAATGCGTACATATTGCTATGGTGGTACCAATTAAAACCGACCAAACGCGAGCATACTGGACTTCCAAATAGCAAAAACCTAACTTTAAGTCTGACACTCTAGCATCAAGTTGGAATACTCAAACAGATTAAAGAAGTAGTGACACTTCACTTCTTTTTGAGAACGATGACTTTCTCAGAAATAAAACATTAAATTCACCTTATGAGTACCCTCATACAAAAAGGACTACTATGACAATCTGACTCCAGCTGTGGTTACCTACCCGGTTGAAGCGCTTGGAGCACTACCTCTCCTGTTTTTCTAGAATGTTCAGAATGCTGATATTGTGATCGTCATCAGTCAGCAGCCTGAAAGCGCTTAAAAGATCATCACGTAGGGGGGACTCTGAACTCGACAGCACTCACGCTGTGTCTCACACTAAGAAGGTCTTACCAAGCCCAACAACATTTCACCACAAGCAATTTCCTTATCGCTACACAGTGGGATGGAACCATGATGAACCGTATCGCTGGCAGCAAATGAACTTGCGTTTTTTGGCACAAAAATCGATGAACAATAAAGCTGAGCAATACATACAATTCCTTTCTCGGTTATTCTTTGGGTATTGATTTTAGATACTACTATTACGGAAGAAGCAATCATCGCTACAAAATATAAGAGATGTAGTAAACCGTGACAATTTGTAGAACTTAGCCACCGTCGTGATACTCAAACGGTAAATTTGGGCCACACTGATTTTTTAGACAGTTGCTTGGAATTAACACTGTGCTTGAGACTGATACAAAACAACACTAAACATGCCGGAAATACCTCCTCAAGCAGCTGAAGACCCATTCAACGCTTTTCTTTGTATCATCCCTTTCCCAAATAAATCGCCAAGTTATTTGCCGGCGGCTTCATTTCCGAGCGGATCGTGCGTTAGTGCCTTCGAGCTACGGATCCTTCCACATATTTGGCCATGAGCTTGTGATACCAGTCAGATTTGCCTCATTACATTATATTTAGTCATGCAATGAGTACCACAATAATGTTCAAAATACGAAAACATGCTCATCTTTTCTGTTCTTGTGCACTTGCGGACAATGCTTTTAATTTCACGTCGAAGGGAATCGGTTGTTCCAAGTATTTATCGGCGAGTGATCAGATGATCGGGTGGGCGGAGATCGCCGGACCCGCCAGCTTTGAGGCATGATAGGTCGCCGAGGTCAAATTTTTCCATGCGAATTGCGCGTCAGTTCGCACCCTCAGGAGGTCCGTGGGTCCCTCAACTAGGTCAGTTTCCCTTTCTTCGACCTTCATTCTTAATCGAAGTCCTCTCTAATATCACATGCCTTTGGATGGAAGGGACCAAAGAGAGAGTCAATGGATACGAATTTTTGTTGTGGTCTTTGCGTTTGTGAATTTTCCATTCTTTCCTTCTATCTGAATTTATTTTCTGTGAGTGGATGTTTCCCGCTTAAATATTCTTCCATGTAGATGATTTGAATCTTACTGCGAATGGCTTTTTCCGAGGTGTAGTTTGTTGGGTTTTGGAGGTTTCGTTATAACTGCGCTATGTTTTTAGTGGGGCATTGATTGGGAAACGAATTGTGTGTACTCTTTGAAAAAAAAGGTATCGTTCAAAATATCAAAGGCAAAAAAACTCCGTCCGGTCACTTCAGTGATTAAGAGTGGATAAGCAATTTTGTTAACAATGTAAGTGACTGACAATTGAAGGCAGATCCTAAACGCTTAACATTGGCGACAGCGTGACGTTGCGTCCCACCCAAAGCCATCCATTCTCTCGTTTTGGTTTTGTACCGTCATGTTTTGCATAGTTATGACTCAACATTTGCAGCTGTGAGGTGAGGCGGCCGCGCTTGCAAAATCGCTCCTTGTTCCACTTTGCTAAGATAACTAGAACGCGCGTTGTCGTCAACGTGTTAACTCAGATTATATTGGGCCACGTTTATACCCAACATCGAGCAGGAGGCGAATAAAGGGAAAGAATCAAATACGTGTTGATCAGTCGAATTGATTCAATTGTATGAAGGCTTACTCGAGAACAATGCCAGTTTTGTTGATATACGCAAGTTTAGATGTGGCTGCGTCGGATTCTCAAAGCCAATGTGCGATCCATATCACGCGTAGCCGGCAGTTCACGGTATCCCGGTGATGCAGTTTTGATTCCTACAGAGCCAGAAATCAGCCAGGTAGCGGTTCTATTTAGTTCGTCGCCTTTATTTAACCCTTTGACGACAATGCGGATTTGCACGTAGCGTGCTCGTGGGACCACGCCTCTTTTTGGCGCGCCCAACTCTCGCACAAAATGGGGCAAAATTGTCCCTAAAAGCAGTTTTTCTATCAAAATTTTGACTATGACAATAAACAAAATATGACTGCAGTCTTAAGCTTTATGATCATGTATTGTTGGAATTAGAAGTGGAAGTTTGGAAAAGAACGTAATAACTTGGATTGCAAAGAGGGACCGGGTGATTCAGAACTTGGAATTTTAATTTGGACCGATACGAAGTTTATATAGTTCAAAACTCCTTTGTGTCTTAAGACTGTGAAAAGACGTAGAGGTCCTGATCTGTAATTCACCTTAAGCTTAATAATGTAAAACACTAGTTAATACATCGCCGAGCGAAGTGCCATATCCTAAAAATTTCATATAAATTAGCTAGTAACAAACATTTCTGCAAAATATGCTAAACATAGGCGTAACGGAGCTTGCTTATAATTACTGATATGTTGAAAATGTTTAAAATGGGTAAAAAGAAAAGGAAAACTAGGGTTGTGTTGTTGGCAACCACAGGTGGTGCCTGGTTTCGCCAAACGGGCCAAAGGGTAAATTCACTTTGGTCACTCAATTCATATTCTGTACAGTGGATGCTTTGTTATTTAGGTAAAGAGCACCTCTACGGAGGCTCCTCACTTTGACAGGAAGCTCATCTTACAGTTAGAATCGCTATCTCTTCTTCGATTTGATGATGAACAAGCGGTAGCGTTACTCGGAGACGTAGTCAAAAAAGCAAAACAGCTAAAGGAAGTTGATGTTGGGGTAAGTTTGTAAATATAATAACTTCCATTCATGCAGTATAGTCGTCAAGGGAACGTTTTGATAAGTCTTTAGAATTGGTGTCTTGAAAAAAGAGCTCTTCTATTTCTGTATTTTTGTTATAAATTATAAAACATCAGGCGTCTTTTTCTAGAAAGTAGTTTATTTTAGAATAATTCCACAATGTTCACTGTGTGGGAGCGACTAGAATGTCCAGTGAATGATGATGTTCCTGATGGCAGTTTAGGCAACAAGGTCTGTTTCATTTATCGTTACATGTTACAGTTCTGTCTCTTCTCAATAGTTCATTAACTTTCTTCTCGAATTACTGTTTATTTATACGCGGGTGGGCCCATTTTGCGGAGAGGAAGGGCAATGGCCGCCAACATTGCAAGCCGCAGGAGGGGGTTGCGGCTCCGGGTACCAGCTTAGAAGGTCCGCCAACCTCTCCAGAGGGCACGGAGGGGGTAATGGGGGTGAGGGGCTGTTTACGGCTAGGCAAAAATCTCATCAAAGAAGCAACTGACACACACATGATAAAGGAGATAAATAATAGTGTACGTATAGGCCCTAATAGAAGGAGAAGGATAAGAATGGAATCGCGCAAAGACGCTGAAAAACTATGGTTAAATCTCTGTCACCACAACACTTTGAATTGTAAATCACTTACAGTATCCAGAAACCCCAATATTCCTCTTACCCTGAGAACCGGGGATCAGACTCGAGCAGGAGCAGACGAATGCCGCAACGTGATGGAGGGATAGTCAAAGCCTGCAACTATTTGTGTGCGCAATAAGTGGAAAAATCATACCTGTGCGAACTCTGGGTAGGGTGCGCGTGCGGATAGGTATAAGGGCCCTCTACTATCGAGCCGGTAGTCACGCGAGCACTCAGACGAAGGAAGCGTAATGTAAAGGGAAAAAGGCGTGTAGACTTAGTTAGCTCCTGAAGAAAGTTGCAGTCGTTTGAGATATTCAGCAAGTTTGATCTGAAACATATGCGAATGTCTCCATTTAAAGAAATCTACATCAAGCTTATTCCAAATTGAAATGACTCTGACAGGAAAGGCTCCTTCATATGTGCGAGTCTTCGGCTTCTCAGGCCGTAGGCGGTAGGGATGTCCTCGACACAGCTCAACAAATGAGATATTTCAAAAATTTCAGTCAAATTTGTTGTAGAAACTGATCCTATGAAGCGCACCTACTAACGCATACGAAAGATTTTTATCCTTGAAAAATCCTTCAATACTAGTAACTGTAAAAATTTGAACAGATAGTTCATAGTGAATAGTTCATAGTGAATGATATTTGATATGATATTATACCTTACCTGATTCTGATTCTCAGTTATTTAGGCATTATCAAACGCCGCTAAAACTCAGGACGGCTACTTCGTCTCACCACCAGGCAACATTCCACTTGCCGAAGCCGGTAGCCTCAATCTTGATCTCATCAGTCAGTGGGATCAAATCGGTTTACCTCGCGCAATCAAGCCTAAGAAGCAAAAGCTCAATGTTTCGCATGGTTCTGAATAAACTAATAACTATTACTTTAATTGAAATTTCACAATTAGTTGTATAAAATATGATTTTAACATAACATTACTGTGACGAATACAATCAGGGAAAAGGAGTCTTGCTGCTCTCGTTGTCCGTGGATCGAATCCAAGCCTCGGCAGGGGAGTAGTAGAACTCTAGGTGCGCTTTTCATTTTCCTCGAAGTTCCTGCCCCTTCGTAGGCTTAGTCTAGAGTATGCACCTGTATCTTACGATAGCGCCGAAACGCTATCCCTTACGTTAGATCAATATTTTGCCCTCGTTCAGTTCACACGTTCGAAATGTCTCGGTGGACCTGAACGAAAGTAGGGTGTATGGCTAATTCTGAAGAGATGAGTCATTCCGTTGAAGTGTTTACCTGTCGTCATTTTCCAGCGATCATGTTTTCTACATGCTCTGCCGAATTTCGTCTGCACGCTTCGTCACTTATAAGTTATTTGTGGTATCGATGTGTAAGGAGCGCTTAACCGAGCAAAGTGAATGGGTGCGTTGAATTCTATGTCTAATAAGCAACGAAGAGTATAATTAGGTAATCAGGTGAATGTGGTTCTTCCATTCGAGTGGAAATTTAACGAGATTGCAACTAGCTTTGTTTACTCGTAAGAACCTCATTAGGGTCTTATCGTTGTAGACGGAAGTTGAAGCCAAATTTTTCATAGATTACTCTTCTTGTCTTCTACTCAAATGCCTTTCTACTCTAGGATTTACTTCAATTAAGAAAGATTTCAACTTCTAGGCTGTATTCGCACTGTTCATGGACTTCCCTGCCGCGTTTGAAGGGTGTGGTTAGCTAGGACAGAAAGCGTTTTTCTCGCGTTCTGCAGCGCGAAACTTTCTCTGCGGGAACCTAGGTTACACCGCTGATCGTGAGTGATCCCCTTTTCCGATGCTACCCTTCCCTTTCCCCATCTCAGGGTTATGTCATTCACAGGGAGGCCATACTTCTTTGAATCAGCTGTTTTTCTGGGAGTCACGCTGCTTTAATTCGGAAGGATAAAACGCAGAGGTTTTGAGGGTCCTGTGGCGCTTTCCTGAGGTGGGGAAGTGAAGCATAGCATTGGGGAGCGGAACGCATCACTTTACAGAGAAGACATGTACAGCAGGCAACTAAGGACAATTCATCCGGTACAGGGGCGATTCACAGGGTATAGGTCTTAAAGCAACAGTCCTAGCAGGGTTTCTAGTTTGAAATGTACGGCTTTGCAAGAACCTCGGCATGATATATTGATGGCTGATATCTTCTGTAAGCTCTCCACGAGGTTGTTAAGCAGACTTTATTGGCTTACGTTTCGGCGGGGTCGCCTTCTTCAGAGCCTGAAAGGATCGAAGCAATTTATGACTACCCGACCAAACGCCTCCGCTATCCTACTGAAATTCGAGAAAAGTGAAGTCTGCTTAACAACTTCGTGGAGAGCTTACAGAAGATATCAGCCATTAGTCCCAGCAGGGTTTTACCTTCGACACTAATGGTGTGGAACGATGCGCTAGCCCTAGTCAAGAACATAAGAAGTGTGACTGAACAAAAAACTCACCTTGGAAAGCCGCTAGAAAGGGAGCTGAACGGCTTCGAAGTGGGCGTGGTTGCTCAGTCGGCCCGACTTCCAACCACGCCCACTTCGAAGCCGTTCAGCTCCCTTTCTAGCGGCTTTCCAAGGTGAGTTTTTTGTTCAGTCACACTTCTTATGTTCTTGACTAGGGCTAGCGCATCGTTCCACACCATTAGTGTCGAAGGTAAAACCCTGCTGGGAATGTTGCTTTAAGCAGGGTCAAAAAATTCTGGGTTTCGCACTATTTTCATTGATTTACCATCAAACTATTTATATGCTATTGGCAGAGTTACTTGTAAATTCTTCAAAACTAACCACCTGAAAGTTTGAGGTCGATCTTGAGCAGCTTGTCTATTTCCTTCTTCCGGCTGGGGGGGGGGGGGGGTTGAAGGAGTTGTCGACTGGGCCCCTGAGGTCAATGCTATTTTTGGAACATTTCTGTACTCAAAAAGAGCTGGGGGCCATCGAGGAGCCAGTAGTCAGAATGAGACGTACCCTCTGCTTCCGAAAACCAGATGCGCGTCGAGTGCAGACCACACACCACAAGTGACGACGGCCTCCACAAAATGTAAATGTTTTCTGCCAATGAAATGATTAGCCTGTTGCAGTTGTATTCTATCAGTTGTCACTAATTACAACTATTTACCAACTATCAGCTATCACTATGAACCACTACTAACCAGATTTACTTGGAGGCCGTCGTCACTTGTGGTGTGTGGTCTGCACTCGACGCGCATCTGTCTTACGAAGCAGATGGTATGTGCTTGCAGAGAAAGGGGTGTCAAGTCAACCGTAACTCTTCCACTCGGCCTGTGTCGCTTAGCGGGCAAGCGAGCGTGTCATGGTGGAAGTTGATGTCTGTTTTTACGTTTGCGAGTACGGTAGGCGTGAGCCTTCGGCCTAGCTACCGTACTCGATGCTTCATCGGCATCGTCCGTGGCGATGTCAGTCATCACAACTTTTGCTAATCGCTTCCAGCTCTACACATTGCCGGAACCATCACCATGATAGGAACATCTTTAAGCTGCTGGGCTCACAGACGATTGGCCCGTCTTCTTCTCCTTGATCACCGTCTTGCCTTGAAAATTTTGAAGGAGGATCCATCTCTCATCGAATTCTCATTCTCATGAAAACCTTGTGCTCCTGGAATGTAGCCTCGGAAGTCCATTCTGTCGGCTCCTTTGTGGCTAGGGTAACTACGGCCAAGCTTCAATCAAACCGATCCTTTCTGATCAAGATTCAATTGTGGATAAGGCATGGTCGACCAGTAGTACGGGTATTACAAGAAGACATGCTACAGTTCATCCCAGCTCCTTAACTAAACAGCTTTGGTGCCAATTTTGAAGGCATTTCGCCTTGGCCGGAATCGCTTGGCATGTTTCTAGGGGTTGATCCCGGAACACAAGTTGCATACTTGAGTAAAATAAGGGGTGGGATGGACCCATATGGGCTGCCCAATGAATGGAGGTTCTTTCAAAATCTCTATTCACAACAAAATTTGGATAGACATGTATGGCGTATATCCTATGATCAAGCTTGAGTTGGCAAACTTTTCGGTCAACCTAATAGTTTGATGGATTAGTGAAATGGTCTATTTTCGACCGTCTTGCAATCTTTGCATGATAAGTTGAGTAGGGATAATTGTTGAATCCTTTCAAGATTGAACACTCTCAGTACTTGACTTGTGCTTGACCATTCAAGGGTAATGCTCTACCGGAAAGCCTAGTGACTCAGCGTTTTGCAGTGCTCTCTGGGTCCTCTCGTACATGCTCACATTACAGCATCTCTGCTCTTTTCACTTCCTTCAGAAAGGCTTAGCCATGGAAAAGCATAACATGCTGCTGCTGTGTGTCTCTTGGCGCGTGGTCGACCTCGCCTCGCCACCGTCTTGTTCACTACTTCAGACTTGACCTGATGGAATAGTGCGGCAGAAGGGCATATCCAATCTTTTTCAAGCGCGTTATAGTGAATTGATCGCCTTTAAAGGCACAACCCAGGCAGAGTTCGTGTGAACGCTTCTCTTCGGTCACTAGTATAGAACCCTAGAGGACAATCACAGATGTGGCGTCCTCGTGCACGGAAACCGACCGATAAGAGCGCTTAGGCCTTGCAAAGTAAGCTGCCCAAGCTGCAGACTTTTTTTTCTTATCAGGCTGTTGTCTGGCGCTCTCTCATCTGTAGTGCTCTCTCGCCTCATACTCTCCCTCCGCGCTTAGTCTCTCATTCCCTTAGCACAGCCGATTAGGAAGGTGAGTGAGCCCTTAACCTAAGCGTTTTTGACGGATTCTTTTCCTTTTTTCTTTACTGCCGGCCCACTTCCCACCAATACATTCACATTCGTGCACATGGGCCACACCAATGTGATCCTGGTAGGCCTTTAAAGGGGGGCTGAAACGAGTCAAGTACTTGGGCTGAAACCGAGTCAAGTACTGTCATTTGGCACCACGATATCTTCAGCTCACAGACGTGAACGTGGGCGTGAATATGCTGGTTCTAACATTTCATTATAGAGTGGACCGAATACTCAGGTTTTTAAGTAGCTCTGTTCTAGAAAGATCTCGAATATGTGTCGTGTTCTCTAGGAATTGGTCTGAAGCACCTGCCTTTCTTTCCGTTGCTCGTCAGACATTCCTTGAACAGACGGCGGCAGCCTCCCCCTTCCAGTTTCTACTTTAGCCGCCGAGATTAGTATTCACTTTTATTTGGCTAACTTTTCGGGGCACTCGGCGTAATAACATTTTATCCGAAACAATTCATCCAAGCATCATTTCTTACTACACCTGTATCACCTGTATCACCTGTCGTCCCGTTGATCGTCGATTTGCTCGAGCGGGCGCCAGCAACGTCTCCATTCGTCCCTGTCCGCGTGCTCGAGGACAGTGAAGTCCTTCATTCCTTTCGTTCAGAGCTTTCGTGAAGAAGTCTGACCATCGGGCCGGCGGTCGTCCAGGTGTTCGTTTGACGTCCCGAGGGATCCAGTCGGTAACCGCTCTGGTCCAACGGTCATCGCAAAATCGCATGACGTGTCCGGCCCACCTTATCTTCGATTCCTTGGCGAAAACGGCAGCGTCCCTGATCTTCGATCGTTGGCGTAGTTCGGCACTCCGGATTCCCCTCTGCACTTGCGTGTATAGGGTTACTCCTAGCATCGTCCTCTCGACAGCGCGTTGGATAACGCTGACCGCATGCTCGTCCTGCCTGCGCAGAGTCCAAGTCTCTGAGGCGTAGGTTAGGGCAGGAAGGACAGCGGAATCGAAGAGGTGGGCACGGAGCCGGATGTTCTTCGTCTTCTTCACTACTCCCTCGATGTTCTTATACGCTCCCCAAGCCGCTCGTTTCCTCCTGCTCAGCTCTGGAGCTAGATTTCGTATAATGTATGCTATACGAAGTTATTACGAGTACGTCGTAAACAGTCTTACCTTTTTGGAAGTC